ATGCAATTACTCTCCATTCGACAATCTTTCCTTAAACACTTAAAAATCTGAAGAAATCTTGGCCGTTTTCTAGAGTAAAGCTCAGAATATTGGTGAGGTTTGAAGATTTGGACCCATAACTTTAAGTTTTAGTAAAAAATAAAAATAAAGCTTTAACAGTAGGGTTAAAATCTTTATTGCTTCTATTCCCTATGAAATAATGTAGGTAATTCTTTTCTAGAATTGTTTTTATTGTCCTTTTTATGCAGGCTTATCTCTGGGAAGCTCAGAATAGCTTGAAAAGCTCCTTCCTCTCTCTTGGTTTGTGGCTTTATCATATCTGTGAGGTAAAGTGGAAAGGTAGAAATATAATGATCAGAAAGGAATGAGGATTTGCACAAAGATTTCAGCAAAGCATTTTCACAGACCTAACACATTGGCTAAGTTTAATAAAAGTTCAGCAGGACACGTGAGTACTGAGTGAGACAATATCATGAAATCTCAGAGATATTGGCTAGACTGGAAAGTTGAAAAAAATCCCTTTTTTTTTTGCATGTAATACTCAGGAACCCAGCTTACTGAAATCATTGACTCTAATGCTATTCAGCACCTGGATTGCTGCATCCTACTAGCCTCACCCTAACTCAGCCATCTTGATACTCATGATATATAACTGTTCAAAACTGTCAGAAGTTCAGGGTTCAGAACCAAGCCAGGTCATCCAAGGAACTCACAGGGCAAGTTGCTTGGAGCAGAGGCATCATTTATTTGAGAACTTACACCAAGTTACAGTTCTCGAGTATTTGCCTTTATACCTTTTCTTTGTTCCTCCCAGAACAGAACCCATCCACTAGGAATTACTGGAAACTGTAATTAGCTGACCAAGAGGGGCGCTTGTTGATTAGGCAACCTGCTAAACCTTTGGCATACCAGTTTTGGTATATCAGTTTTTCACATATCAGCTGGCTTTTTGCTTAATTTACATTGCAGCTCAAGTAGCAGTGACATTAATAGGTGTAATATTCGGTATCCTCACAAACTTTGGCCATTTTTCACCTCTTTGCTGTGTTCCTTATCTTTTTGTTTTAGTGTAATTTGAAGTGAAGTGGGAGCAAGAAAAGTGCAAGTAAGGGAGGTTGGTTATATAGCTTAGGTTGAATGTGAGGCAGATGATAAGTACCTTATCACTTAACAATTGCAATGTGTTAAATGTCCATGATGTTAAAAGGCATAATAAGCTCACAGAACCTCATGTCTTTCAATAAAAATTGTTACGTAATCTGAAAAGGTGATGTCAGACTCTTCCTGATTTTTGTATCCTAAATGAGAACAAAGGTTGATGGTGGTGAGCCTTATGCTTAATCATTTGAGAACTGAATTACCACAAGGGGGAGAACCATCCTACTTCCCCCATTGATAACATTGATTAATGCTAGGAGATGAAGTTAATTACTGGATAAAAGCTGAATAAGCTCATGCTTTTCATGAAAAGTATGTAATCCGATGTATTTCAGTATAAAAGATGGAAAAAGCATCATTTCCAACAGATATTCAGTTTTATTTGTAAGTGAAACAACACCTTAACAAACTGACTGTCAAAACAGCACCAGTGGGTATGCCACTCTTGAAATATAGGTAGTCCGCGACTTACAACTACAATTGAGCCCAATAATTCTGTTAAGTGAGACATTCGTTAAGTACGTTTTGCCCCATTTTACCACCTTTCTTGCCTCAATTGTTAAGTGACTCACTGCAGTTGATAAATGAGTCACCCGGTTGTTTAAGTGAATCTGGCTTCCCCATTGATTTTACATGTCAGAAGGTCACAAAAGATGATCATATGACTTTGGGACATTGCAACCATCATAAATATGAGTCAGTTGCCAGGCATCTGAATTTTGATCCCATGATCATGAGGATGCTGCAAAGGTCGTAACTGTGAAAAACGGTCATAAGTCACATTTTTCAGTTCCATTGTAACTTTGAATGGTCACTAAATGAACTGTTTTAAGTTGAGGATTACCTGTACTGAATGTCTCAAATATTTCACACACACAAACACACACACACACAAACACACCTGGGATGCCTCCGGGTCAATTGTCCATAAACATATGGATATTAAAGATGGATGCTTACCATTGGCGTTTTAGGAACAGTAATTTCTGAGAATAGTGGTAATTTGTGCATGAATATTTTTGAAAGTCAATCTATCCAAAGTGTAATGGGGCAGAATAACAGTTGAATGGTTATTATCCTGACAATGACTAGATTTAGACTGATCTGCATAAATCATATTAATAATAAGCTGGAAGAACCTATGAGCAGTCTGTATATAAAGCAGCTTCCCCTCTCTCTATCCTGCTCTGTGTTGGAAGCAACGCAAGTGTCAAGCCAGGACATGCTGATGGGTTGCAGAGCCAGTTAAAACATCTGTTTCACCCAACATGGCAATTTTTATTTAAGGTGCTTTGCTATTATTTTGTAATAATGGTATTCTTTTATAAAGCTATTTGTGCATGGAAAATCTGCGCCTCAGATAATGATTTTTAAAAATTGAATAGACTACAGCCATTTGTCTGTTATATGCATATAGCTAGTAAGTGGATTTTTTAAAAAAAACAAAAAACAAAACCCTGCCATTGCTGTATCATTATGGGTAAAGGTCCACCATTCACTCTGGCCTATTTAAATTACCTGCTATTACCCGCTCCAGAATTCATGGTAAACACACTTAAGCTGTCAGGCCAAGGCACACGACGAAAGCAGAAGTCATAAAGTCAGGCAACCCAGCCCATAATAATGTATCAAAATGTGTGAGGGGGAAGCACAATGCTAAGAGCAAATCATTTTAAAACACCCAAGAAACTGAATCAATGTTCTCTAATAGAGTCAGGGGAACTACTTGCAGCAAATGATTTATTCATCTTTCATGAAGCCGTTCTTTCCGCTTGCAAATTATCTTTGAACAGCCTTCCATTTTCTTTGTTAAATCAATTGCTATTTAAAATTACTCTCTTTTGTGCCTTCTGTGAATAGTTGCCAGTAGCTTGTTTGCTCCATGCACATGCTGATGCAAAAGTTATTCTGCTTCCATCTCATTTATTTTTATGGTTGGTCACATAGTCAGCCAGATGTTTAGACTGGATTTGGCATTTTGATCCATCCATCAAGTCCTTTCCAAGGACAGGGGAAAGGCAGATGTTGTTTCATGGTCTCAAGGTATTGTCACAGAAAGTAAGGTGTTCCAAATAGACTGGTAGTGGTTTTTTTTTTGCAATTGACTGATGGTGATTTGGTCAGTGTTGAAGGTGGTTCAAGTGATGCTCCAGGAGTTTTGAGATTGTACCC